AGTGGATTTTCGCCAGAATCGAATTTTTTAGCCAGGTGAACGTTGATTCCAACTATTTAAGCGACGGGCTATTCAGAACTATCAAAAGTGTGTGGAAAAAGTGAAAAATGAACAAAAAAATTTTTCACCGGAGGCCAAAGTGTCGGATCTTGGATTTTTCCGGGGGGAAAGTCGGTCCAAGGGTCACAAGGGGCAAAGTGTCAGATCTTGGATTTTTTGCCAAAATCGAATTTTTTAGCCGGGTGAACGTTGATTTCAACTATTTAAGCGACGGGCTATTCAGAACTATCAAAAGTATGTGGAAAAAGTGAAAACTGCGAAACCGTTTTTTTTGGCCTTAGCAAAAGGGTCAGATTTTCGGGTTTTCCGGGGCCAGTGGATTTTCGCCAAAATCGAATTTTTTAGCCAGGTGAACGTTGATTCCAACTATTTAAGCGACGGGCTATTCAGAACTCTCAAAAGTATGTGGAAAAAGTGAAAACTGAAAAAAAAAATTTTTTCGCCGGGGGCCACAGGGTCAGATTTTCGGTTTTTACTGGGAAGAAGGGTCAGATTTGTTAAGAATTTCATTTTTTATTTGCACAATGCATGCAAGCGGAGGGACAAGAGTGGCTAGAATAGATTCTGCAACCTTCTCCCCTTGTTGGGTAAAAATTTCAAGCCTCCGCATACATTCATCTCCCCTCCACCCTCTCGTGAAATGTCGATTTTCGAGATTAAAAAAAAACAATAATTGCATTTTTTTGCAAAAAAATTGCAAAAATCCACAGTTATTCTCCACTTGCTTCTCAGGTTCCCATTCAAATCGGCAAAACATTTAATGCGGTTCATGCAACACAACTCAATAAGCGTCATTCAATCCAGCCGCATCCGCTATTGTTTGAGCTGGCGATTAGCTGTTCTTGTGTTGTTGGATTTTGATACTTGTTTTCTGTTGAACGTGTAAACCTTCTGTCATCAAACTTTTGTTTGGATTTCTTCTTGGCCGTCGAGGGCTCCGTTTCAATTCGAATTGCATTACAATATTTGCTGGTATACACTCCAATGTTATTATGAAGGAAAAAGTGCACTAGGAAATGAGGAAACATTGTCACCGCCTAAGAAGTCATTCAAGAAATAAACAACTGCTGCAAATAAAGTCAATGTCAAGAGAAGACTTTATTTTTCGACGAAACATGTAGAATTCACATGACATCATGAAATGTGATGAATGAAACTACATAAATAAATATTATTCTCCTAGATTCACTAGGCGACGAGCTGACTGATCTCTCCCCAGAGCTTGATATGGCGGCGCAAGCTGCGCTTTCGTCATCTTCCACACATGTGCACTGGCTGCAGACACTGTAGAAGACTGTGTTTGACTAGGAGAGGGATCATTGTACGTGGAGAGCTGTAAACATAAAATAAGTTATATCATATTGATACTGCACTGCAATCAATGATCTTAATGAAATTAATCTAGTGCTGTCGCGAGAGACTTTACGAGACATCACGAGACAATACTTTGGAGGGATTGTCTCGGTCTCAGTGAACGCGGAAATTTTTGGTTTCGTCTCGTCTCTGTCGTGATGACTCCGAGTCAATTTATCTCACCTCGGTTTCCAGTTTTTCGTGTTCTATATGTATAAAATCGAGACGAGACAAAGCGAGACAAAAACCGAGAATTTACATTAACAATGCGAAAAACTTGAGACTGAAATGAGATAAATTGACTCGGAGTCATCACGAGAGAAGTCGATACTGCGTATTTCGAGACTTAGACGAGACCAAAGAATTCTTTTGCCGAGGCATGGGACATACGAGACATGAAACATACGAGACATCACGAGACAATACTTTGGAGGAATTGTCTCGGTCTCAGTGAACGCGAAAATTTTTGGTCTCATCTCAATGTCAAAATACGCAGTATCGACTTCTGTTGGGATGACTCCGAGTCAATTTATCTCACCTCGGTTTCCAGATTTTCGCGTTTTATATGTAGAAAATCGAGACGAGACAAAGCGAGACAAAAGCCGCGAATTTACATTAAACATGCGAAAAACTTGAGACCGAGATGAGATAAATTGACTCAAAGTCATCACGAGAGAAGTCCATACTGCGTATTTCGAGACTGAGACGAGACCAAAGACTTTTATGTTCCTTGAGACCGAGACCATCTCTCCAAAGTATTGTCTCGTAAAGTCTCCGCAGCATCACTAAATTAATCCATTGACCGGCAAACGTCTCCACTCGTCTGGGAGACGCTTGGTCGTTCAATGGGTTGAGGAATGAGAGAACAAATTCCTCATCGACATTTCATCAGCAGAGAGAAAATACTCACATCCTAAAAGCTGTTGTCCAGCTTATCTGCAATAGTATAGCAAGGGCTCTGCCGTCGGCTGGTGATGGTTGCCGTAATTCCAGCAGGGGTCACTCGTCCGCGAGTAAACGTTTCTCTGCAGTGGAGACTCATAACAGAAGGATGGTATGGCTAGTGCTGATGCGTCATTGTTGAAGGGTTTTTGGACGTAAACACAGTGCCCTTGTCCGTCGATGTAGTAGGGCGAACCCGATTTTGGAACGATGACATAATTTCCTTGTGCGTCGATGTAGTGCTCATTCCCATGTTGACAGATAACAGAATGTCCTTGTGATGGGTTGCAGTAGGGCGAACCCGATTTTGGAACGATGACATAATTCCCTTGTGCGTCGATGTAGTAGGGCTCATTTCCATGTTGACAGATAACTGAATGTCCTTGTGATGGGTTGCAGTAGGGCAAACCCGATTTTCGAACGATGACATAATTTCCTTGTGCGTCGATGTAGTGCTCATTCCCATGTTGATAGATAACAGAATGTCCTTGTGATGGGTTGCAGTAGGGCAAACCCGATTTTCGAACGATGACATAATTTCCTTGTGCGTCGATGTAGTGCTCATTCCCATGTTGATAGATAACAGAATGTCCTTGTGATGGGTTGCAGTAGGGCAAACCCGATTTTCGAACGACGACATAATTTCCTTGTGCGTTGATGTAGTAGGGCTCATTCCCGTTTGGACAGATAACAGAATGTCCTTGTGATGGGTTGCAGTAGGGCAAACCCGATTTTCGAACGACGACATAATTTCCTTGTGCGTTGATGTAGTAGGGCTCATTCCCGTTTGGACAGATAACAGAATGTCCTTGTGATGGGTTGCAGTAGGGCAAACCCGATTTTCGAACGAAGACTACATTCCCTTGTGGGTCGATGTAGTAGGGCTCATTGCCGTTTTGACAGATGATTTGATTTCTTCGTGCGGGGGCGTAGAAGGGCCAACTCGGTTTTCGGGCGAGGACACAATTCCCTTGAGCGTCGATGCAGTAGGGCTCATTTGCGTTTTGAGAGGGAATGCAATTTGCTCGTGCGTTGTAGCCACAGATGTGATCATTTTGTTTTCGGAGAAGTTTTCGGACGAAAAGACAATTCGCCGGCAGTAGCTCATTGTACCAGGGCTGAGCAGCAATGCCTGTAGGATGATGGAGAGATTCATGGGAATTAGCGATTATTCACGGAGAAAATTATTTGGTGAATTTCAAGAAGTAGGTGTTGACATTCAACAACTAATTGTTGAAATTCACCAACTGGTTGGTAATTCATTTTTTTTTCAACAACCAATTGGTGAATTTCAACAACTAGTCAAATTTCACTGAATATCTCGAAAACTAAGGCAGTTAGCAAAACTTTTGTTATAATCTTTCTTGTAGAGCGAATTGAGGGCTACGAAAAAGGTAATTACGAAAAATTTGCTATCTTCCTTAAATTTGGAGCTATTCCGGAAAAACTCAGCTGAGAGCTAAGTCGACTTAAATTATTTTACCGCTTCGCTACTAAATTTCACCAACTAGTTGGTGAAATTCACCAAATAATTTTCTCCGTCTTCACTTCTATATCACAAAGATCTACGACAATAACTTGCAATAGTTATTAATGCACGTGCAATAGTTATTAATGCAATGAGAAAATTAATTGGTGACTATCAATTGATCAACAAAAACATTTCGATTGTCATCACATTGCAGCAATACTCAGACACAAATTGGTGAAGTTTACCACAATAGGAAAATTGATTTTTTGGAAACTAAATGGTACTTGATCATGTCGACGGCTGCTCGTAACACAAGGGCATTTGGGATTTCTTTTTAAAACAAAACAAATAACTCACCCGTGATGACCACTGCGAAAACAATGGCTTTGCAAATCATTTTCGAGTCGACTAACTAAATTCTTTATTTCTGGTCAACTGTCCTGCTGCTCACGGAAGCTCAGAATCGAATAATGATTTGCTCACCGAAAGTCCGTGATTAAATACTCACAATCTTGGTATTATTGACAGAAAGTGACCAATCAGAGATATGATGTGGGGGATCAGTCCATACGGATATACACGACAAATTTTCCGCATCTTTATTGCATTCTGTTTATATTTGGACAAACAATATTATGCACAATGGGACGTTCGTACCAAGTTTCCTGAAATGTTGTTCCGTAAATTCCGGGTCATCGAACCTGTAAACATGCAGCTGATGTGAATGCTCCGAGAGACTCGATCACGTTTATTGGTTATTAATTAATTAGGAAGCAAACAAGGAAAATCATCAGTTCCGTTTAGTATTTTCATGCTCACACGAGGAACTCCGATTTCGATTAATGGTAGAAAAATCTAAATTTATTACATTTTTAGGGCACGATGATCCACGAAAATTATATTTCCGGGGATAACATTTAAATTTGAACGCATTCCTCGTAATGTTGTAGTAGGTATAGTGTAAAAATGTGTGCAATAGCAATTACGAAGAAGTTTTTTGCAATTCGACTCCTACACAGCTAATTTCGTTTTTTTTAAATAAAAAATTGCACCATTCATTTAAAATAGCCCAAAAAATGTTTCTGAAAGAATTAAGATTATATTTTTAATATTTTAAGGATAATTTTGTTGCCTGTTTTACATGAACGGCGCAAATTGTGATATATTGTTTAAAAAACTTTTAAAAAAACCTTCGTAGCTAAAAATTTGGAGGCCCTGGACTATTTTCAACTTTTTAAGCGTGTGTGGAGCAAACGAGCAATGAACAATTAATTTTTTTGCACTAATTATTCGTTTTTTGACATATATAATCAACTTCAATGCATAAGAAATCTCACTCCAATCGTTCGCGATTTTTAAAACTCATGGGAGTCTCCCCTTAAGATAAATCGAATTTTAAAGTTACTTCGGTATGGTCCTCGATTACCATGTAAACATTGTAATTTTCAATTTTATATTCTCTCCGTGTATCAGAATGATGCGGAATAATGCTCAAAATTTTTAATTGAGTACCCCAACAACATTGCTTTATATACTCCATATTTTCATAACTTTATGAGAGCCCATTGTTCATTCTTAACTTCCCGACCCAAGGGGAGGAAGTTATTGTATAATGACCCCGAAAATGCAATGTTGAATTTCGATGATTTGTCTACGTTTTGTGTTGTGGAACGTTTTTGAAGACATGTCTGTGTCTGTATGCGTGAGTATGGAATTGAATCTTTTGTTTTCACATATAAGCATTGTTGAGCCCCATCGATCGCCATTAATTAAAATTTAATTCATCGATTAGTTTTTTTAATTTTCGAATTGGAAAAAAATTCGATATAACTGAAATAATTCTCGTTTAAAAATTCAGCACCACTTCAACAGTTTATTTCAGAAACAATGCAACATCGTGGTTATGTTTAAAATTTATTGGACGATAAATTCAAATGAACAAGTTAACAAACAAATAAATAAACATACAACTCCACGTTGGGCGTGGGTAACTTCAAGGACAAGCGACCCGAAGGTTGCAGCATCGTATCCCGAAGCTTCTGACTATTCACTCATCATTATCAGCAGTTGTCGGTCTCTTTAGGGAGGATCAGTCGAAGAATGTAAATTAAATATTCGAAAAAGAATGTGTTAATAAATTTTTTAAATTATTAGGTGTATCGATACTTACCAATGTCGGTCCGACGTTTCTCAAACCAACATCTACCCGAATCTCGGCCCATCCGCACTGAACACTGGAGCTCGGCTCCCGGTACTGCCCTAATCTTGACCCGTTTCACTTTTCGTAACCGGGATATGACGCACTAATACATTGAGTGACTCCTCACTGTTCTCACACCGAAGATAATTCGAGACTTTCCTTGTTCAATAGTTGTTCAATAGAATCTTCAAACTAATGAACTTAATTTTTTTGCGTCTTGGAAAATTCTCGCCTTTCTGCTGCTTAAAAAAATTGAAATGTCATTGAATGATCCGCGAAATTAAAAAAATCATGATCCCTCGCCTCTGAAACGACTTAAATGTCGCTGTACTGAAATTTACTGCTAAACTGCCTCTGAAATTTTTATTTTTTCGTGTGTGCCAGTATGGTGAAAATTCTTGTACGGTTTTTTTTTAATTTGAAGAATTTTTTTGAAATTTCATGGAAGATATTATAGTAAATCTCATGTCATAATGTCTTATCATGAAACTTAAAACTGGTTCAGTTATGAAAGCGATCGTCTCAGCAGTTTTTTAGCTACTCACAAAAATTTTTTTTTTTTAAAGTCGAAAAATGATGGCTCGAAAATTCGACGATTTTTCTAGAAAAATGTTCGGATGGAATTGTTTCTATTACAACCAATAGATCTGAATATCACGTCTAATTGAATTCCCAAAAAACGGTTTCAACCTTTTCTCAGTTATTTAGATAAAACTTTCGTAACTCGCCATTTTTTTAAATAAACCAACAGAAGTAACTCTATCTGATGGAACGATGTGCGTTTCATCGCCGTCCATAAAATTCAACACAAAAACTGTGTAATTTGTCCGTGTAATTGATGACAAAAACCATCGATAAATAGAGGAGCAAAATGGTATCACATCTGTGGAGAATTTCATTCGATTAATTCTATCCATCGACAACAATCGCCCGAGGTATGGAATGGGAAACACCGCGTGTGGGAGAGTGGGTTATAGAGAATGCCTGTGATGCGCGTACCAACGCCTCCCTAGACGAATGAAAGCTCGCTCAATATCCCCCTCACTCCCCGTCCCCAGGATTTCACGTTTCTCAAATGTCAGATGTTTCTCTCATATACATTTAACAACTTGACGCTTGTTGCATGCCAGTTCACGGAAAAAATATCTGCACTGTTGGAAAAATTTGGCTGAATTTTCCGGAAAAAAACCTTGCGTTCGGTTGAAGGGGAAAAGGTCAATTGAATTTCAAGTTTCTCGGCAAATTCAGGTAAAGTTCCATTTTTTAGGGGTAGGACGACGGAAATCCGATAATTTACATGAATTTTCAAGTAAAAATGAATATTCAGTACCAAATTCCCTTGAATTTTTCGACAATTCTTTTAAAATTCTCAGAATTCCAGGAATTTTTGAGGAATTCCCTGGTAATTCAGAGGAGTCTGGAATCCAAGAAGATATTTTTTTGAATTTTCCTGGTTTTTCATCAACCCTAGTCACCCTACACGACTCAGCGACTTCGGTCACCTCCGCGGGAATATGCCACCGTGCGATTTACGTTTTAACGTTGACGAATTTGCTCTACACTGCCCGGGCACGTTTAGCGAGTTTCAACGAGCAACGTTGCATGACGCGCCCCTGTGTCTATACGAACTTTTAGAATTGTATTTTCTCCTGCAATTATTATTTTCTATTTATGAGACTACGCCATTGACTTAGCAATGCAATGATCGAGTCGATAAAGTAATTTCATGGATATAAAGTAATAATTGTAGGAGAAAACACAATCCTAAAAATTCATACCGACACAGGAGTTCCGTTTCCCCTTAACATGGGGAAAAAATCATCTATTGGAAATAATTTACTTTTTTTTTGCATTCTGAAGATTATGTTCTTCTATAGCGAATATAATGTGTTATATCTTTTAATTGAAAAATTCAATTAAAAAAAAAAAATTCCGGTTGTCCAGTCAATGAAAAACAATGCGAAAAAATGCGATCCGGGGTTTCCCTCATATGGTGACCCATCTGGGGTCAATTTTCCGGGAATAATTGAACTGAAATTCACTTTTCTCAGGGATTTCTTCAGGAAATTAAGAATTTTCAATTACAAAATTCCTTGAAATTGCAGTGGAAATATTACTTATTAAAAATTTTCAAGACTGTTACCGAAAAAAGCAGTAAAATTTTTTTAAGTGTTGAATACGGAATATGTATACCTGAATCAGGAATATGTATTTATGGATCGAGAATATGTGTTTCTGAATGAGGAATACATATTCTCGAATTGGGAATACACATATTCCTCATTCCGGAATATTCCCGACGTATTTCCAATTCGAGTATATTTTTCTCCGATGTATTTTCGATTTCGAAGATGTACTTTCGATTCGAGGATTTTTTTTCTCCGTGTTATCCACACCGAGCTATCAATATTGTGTTCGATGAAATTATCTGATATTTTAGATATGGGTTTGAAATTTGGTGGCTCGATGGTGTTGACTGTTCAGTTATTATTAGTGGAGTGATGGGCATTGTTGACAGGTGATGGCTATTGTAGTGGGTACAACAGTTGTAAATTGAGCACAATAATTATTTTGGATCCGGGTATTACTGGGGGGGGGGGATGTTACATTTAGGTTTATTATTTTTCGAGAGTCATCAATATCATGCAGTGAGATTTGAGTGACTCTAAACTTCATGGCGATGAACGTTTTATGTGCTCTCATTGATGGAGGCGATACATTTCAATTGAAATTCACAAATAAACGATTTGCAAATTTTTTTTTCCGGCTAAAAATAAAGTTTATTTTTTAATTCTCGATTGATAATTCTGCTTAGCATTATTTATATTCATACAGATTTATTGTCAACACGGATTATGACATTTCAAGATTTTTTTTTGCAACCAAAAATAAAGTTTCTTTTCTCAATTCTCATTTGATAATTCTATTGTGCATTATTTAAATTAACGTAGTTCATTGTGAATACGGATTGTGATATTCAACACAGATATTATCGCAATGGCGCTTTTCATTCGATATGTTTCAGAATTATACTAAAGATAGTTCAACTTAAAAACTGATCCTTGAAGTAGATGTCTGCAATTTATTTGTTGCCATCGGTGGCATTATCGTCTAACATTGAGATTGAGATATGATGAATTTGACGGAATTCTGGAGTATCGTTAAAAAAATCCTCAACACCACAGTAAAATTTATTTATCGTTTCCCCCGACGTCGACAGAACTTTATTAAAAAATGGACGAAACTACTTTACAATTCCCCTTGCGA